CTCTTCTTCTGTTGTTTCAAAACTGTTGTTCTGTTTTGGAACACTCTTCTTCTGTTGTTTCAAAACGTTTGTTGTACCTGTATCTGTATCTATGTGTCTTTCTATTTCTGTATTAGTGATGTTAAAAGTATCAACACTCAAAAAAGTATCGATTCTGAAAAGTTGTATCCGGATAAAATACTCATTTCGATACAGTGCTACCACCAGTGGCACCTAAACAGTCAATCATTTTATGCACAGATTAGAGGGAAATGCACTTTTTGAACACTGTGTGACAGAATAATTCTGTGCACTTTTTGGTTTCAGACTTTTCTCTGTAACAGGTGCAGCTGCTGAGAATTATTTTTGTTTTATAACTGGTTTTGCTAGTGTTATTGTTATGTGTGTAAAGCATAGCCAAGGAAGGAACACTTAATTTTGTAAGTTTTATATCAAGCTTGCTTAATATTGTGCACAGCATACAACCTCAAAATATTGTTTATTGTATTTATCTATTTATTGTATTTTGTTTATTAATGAAAAAAAATATGTTGAATTTTGGAGTCGTTTTTATCCGTGTGGTATTGAAAATGACATTGAGTAACGAATATTTTACTTAGTATCGGTATCGAGTTGAAAAGTTTAGTATCGTGAAAACTCTACAAGATGATCACATTTTTCCATCAGCTACATTTAAAATGCGTTAAACGTGGCCTTAAAACCCACCTTTTTAGGAGAGCTTTTAAATAAACTCTTTTCTTTTTTACTTATTGTCTTTGATTATTTTATATTTTTTACTTTTTTATTTCTCATGTGCACCATGTTTTTATTTAGCACTTACCTGTTTTACTATGTAGCACTTTGGGATCTGTATAAATATAAAGTGCATTATAAGTCCTAAGTATTGTTATTATTAAAATGGCTCTTTAGTTCACTTGGTATTTTAAACAGTTTTTTTGCTTTCATTCTTTTGCTTGGTGCTCCCATTGGCTCCATCCTGGCCATGCTGGTAAATTTGGTCTGGAGCATGCATACATTATCAGGACGTAATGATGAATTCACTTTACCAGCAAAATGTATATAGTTTAGTTTAGTAAACCAACTTTTACTGATCTACCACAAGTAGAGCTCAAACCACTTTGTTTTCTCCCCCTTAAAATAAATATTTGGAAACAATTTTAATACATGATTAAAAGTTTATTTTCTGTTAAATTCTTACTTTGCCATAGTTTAAATGAAACATGGTGCTGATTGATGAATGACGATAGGAAAAGGATAAAATCCGGACAGGTATGATAGAAAACAAATCCTACTTAAAATACCGAATATTCTGCTTTTTGAAAATAAAAACAGCATTAAAACCAAAAATGAACATGATCTCCAAACAAATGGGGGATAAATTATAGTTTAAAATTTGGTTTTAGTCCCGATCTTTTCTCAATATCTGTACAAAAATGGTCCCATCTAGGCCGTCCGTCCTCGATGATTATTGTGTTAAAATCAAACCCTGCTAACGGCGATCATTATGTGGCCCATACAGGGAAAAGGACTCGGCAGACAGACAGGAAGTCTTTAGTCGCTCATTTCCATGTCCTCCTCGTGGTGATCGCCTCCATTCAGGTCGGATCTTTTAAAGGCTCGATGTGCGTCTCTCTCCACCTCCTCATGATCTTTGACAGACGACACAGAATCGGATTCGCTCCTCCCATCATCCTTCTCTCCTCTATCACTGTTATAGCCTTGCTCCTCCTCATCATAATCCCTTGTAACCTGTAACACATTTGAAGATTATACTGTGTATGAAGCTGAACGATTCCAAGATCTACAGCGTGGCTTCAGTCTGAGACATACTTTCACATCTTTCTCACTGTCGGATTTGCGGTCCCGCTCCTTGCCTTTGCTCTTCTTCTTCTTGCTGGTGGAGCGTTCTCGATCGTCTTTTGTGTGGTTCTTGTCTTCCCTCCTGTCCCGGTTCTTTTCACGCTCCTTGTCCTTCTTCTTTTCTTTCTTGTGGCTGTTAAATTAAAGTAACCAAGTATGTTTATTACTTATATTGGATTGGAATGGCCAAAATGGTGTGAATGAAACTCACCGTCCAGGGGAGGGAGACCTTGAGAGCCTTTTTCTTGGGGTCCTGGAAGCACTGAGACTTCGCCTGCGCCTCCTAAAAGCCACACAGCATTAGAAAGAAGTGACTGCTGAGCCCTAAAGTACAGAGATGAACTAGGATAGATGATGCTCAGTGAAGAACAGATGGGAGTTCACTCACCGACTGATGCTTGGAGACCTCCTGGCACTGCTGTAGCTTTTAGGGGGCGTCTTGGATCTTTTCTTTGTTTTTTCTTCTTTTCTCTTGTCCCTGTTAAATAAACAATTACACAAATTATCTAAAAGTCCCTCTGTGCTAGAAAGACTGATTTTGTCTTGACTGCAGCTGCAAGTCCTTTTCGAGTGAATCAGCTAAACAGCAGGAACACAGTCACAGATATGAAAAAGGAAAACAGTGAAGCCACTGACCTGGATCTACTGCGACGGCTTCTGTCTCGGGAGCGACTCCTCCTCCTTCTTGGGCTCTTAGACTTCCTCCGGCTCCGAGAATGAGAACTGCGTCTGGACCTGCTGTTTGAACTTCTGTGTCAAAATCAAAGATAAACGTGTGTTAAAGAATATAACCATGCTGATGGTAAAGGACAGAGGAAGGCTTTATTTTACCTGTGTTTTGATCTTGACCTAGACCGTTTGTGCCGTGACCTTGAACGCGATCTGGAACGCTTGCGTTTGTTATCTTTCTTACCTGCAGATATAAAAGGACAGATTTGCACATTTAAACCGTGAATGGAAACCTGGCTGCTCAACACAAGCAAACAACAATTTGATAGTATTAAAAATCCACCTAAAGCTCATTGAAACACATATTCTATATGTACATCTGAATCAGAAAAAACATCCAAAACTTTAACTTCAAGCATTTTTTTTTCAAACCATAAACTCTTGTATAATAGCTTCATCACAAACGAAATATTTTAAAATAAGATTTTTGTGCTTCAAGTGATATTTAGATTTTTTTTTAATTTTCATTAGCTCTAAGCCATAATAATCTAATATTTGCTTAATTCTATATCAACGTCTATTTAATTAACCTTTTATGAGTTCTTATCTTTGACTTATTCCAGACAAATGAATTTCCATGACGTTACAAAAAGATTGGAGGTGAGGAAACTTGAAAGCTGAACTCACTTCCAGGTTCGATGGCAGCAGAAATCAAAGACTGGGCTTCTCTGACTCTCTTCATCGCCTCTTCGATCTCCTTGTTGGCAGCATCCGCTTTAAGCCCCGGGGTCAGGTTTAATCCAGCCGCTAGTGGATTCAGTCTGAAAAGCAGTTCTTTAGATTTAAAATAATAAAAAGGGAATAAAACTGCAGATCTGAGTAGAAATTAGTGGTTTCTTACTTTGGGTCAATAGACTGCATAAGCTTCAGGAAGTCTGTAGAGAAAGCCTGAGAGAGAGAGAGAGAGAGAGAGATGAGAAAGACAATATTTTAGGAACAGAAATGATTTCCTTCCCATATCAGCACAATGACTGTAGTGGAAACACACCTGGGGGTTTATGTTGGGCCCTGCGATTCCCATCGCAGCTATCTGGTCCATAGTGGGAGCCCCCAGACCTCCAAATGGGGATGCGCCTATCTGCAGTGTTAAACATTTAACCAATCAGCACCAATTTTATTTTCATATTATCCACAGAAGAACCACTGACCAACTACCAGTCAGGTGGTTGTTTGAACAGCAGTTAGCTCCTTGTTTAGTTGAAAAAATTAAATAGAAGCACATCAATAATTTCCCCTGAATATGAATCAAATTCTGTGAAAAGTGTGCACTGCTCCATATGTTTGCTTTTACCCACAAGTCTACTAAGCTTACTGTGAAACACCAGAACCCAGAGTAGGACAATTAAAGACATAAGACCCATTGATGGCAGTCTGTATCCAGTGGAAATTAAAAACCCAGAAAAAAGAAAAAGAAAAAAAAAGATAAAATCAAGGAGTTTCAAAGATGACTGCCAAAACTTTCCAGGGCCATGAATCTATTTTTTTAATTCACAAACTTTAAAGAATTAAAGAACCTGTGGGAACTCTGTTGAAAAAAAGATTCCAAGGAATCCATGACTAAAATGCAACCTAAGGAAGATGTTTGACAGATCAGGATTTTCAATGCAAGGCAGGAGTTAAAGCTGCCCAGTCGGCGCCCTCCTCAGGTTAACTACGGGATTACTGCATTGGACTTCTGCTACTGGCTTAAGAACTGGTTATACTCGCTCAACAGTATGTTACAGTGAGCTTGTCGCAGATATTTTTGATTTACGCCCAATATTGAAGCATGGTCTGTGCTATGTTATTCCACGCCACAACACAAGAGGTTAAATCAGGAACTAGCTGTTGGTCTAGATACGGTGAAGAAGTGTCGGCGAGTTTGTGCAACAACGGAGGGACATGAGGGTGAAAAAGAGCGGGAATCCAGGTGGGAAAAGGGTCCCAGCGTTCTCGCGCAGCTCGCTCTTCTAGCTGGTCCATCTTCACGAGTCCTTTTCCACAATGGAGGTCATACAAACAAAACAAGCCGGTAAAGTACCAAACAGGAAACACAGAAAGTGAAGAGCGGATGTAGATTTGACTAATCAGAGGCCTCCTGTCTCGGTCACCTACAATTTTGAAGAGGTGCACAATTTTGAAGTGTCTACGGCAGGGGCATATCTACATTAACTGCGACACACACGCAGACAATCTGGTTTCTAAGTATAAATCAGCCTTCAGCAAGGAAAGTGATGTAATAGGAGAACTGATGCCAGCAGCTTTATTGGTTCACACTGGAAGAAAGGTGAGATCTAGATAAGTCATTTCTTCTTAAAATAAGTGCATTTGCTCTTGGATTAAGGAAGTAAAAGAGACATTTTGCCAATGGAAAAAGACAACTTGTACTTAAAATAAGAAAACACAATAGCATTGTCTTATTTCAAGTGCATGTTATCTAAATATTTTATTTTAAGAGTAAAAATACCCATTCCATTGGCAAACTATATCATTTACCTACTCAAATTAAGGGAAAATACACTCAATTTAAGATATTTTTACTTCTTTCTAGATCGTTTTTCTCGTTCACTAAGGGACAGACATTAGATCTAATGATTTTGTTATTATAGGACATGAAAATAAATCACGTTTTCAACATTAAACAATGTGATTAAATGCATTAAAATTGGATAAATACAAATCTGCATCGTCTCTCCGGTCAGATTTTGTGTCAGACAGTCGCATGACTTCAAGGCTACTGGAAAGAAAAACAATCCTCTCTAGGTTTGCTCTGCTCACCATGTCTGTATTGCTACAGTATCGCTATGCCGATACTCTGCTCTGGTAAAAGCAATAATAAAACTGACCGATGCCAGAGGATTAGGAGTTGGAAGAAGACCTCCTCCTGGCATCATCCCTGCTACAGCATTGGCTGGAGCCAGTAGAGACATCGCTTTGGATTCATCAGGAATGACTCCTGAAGGAAAAAAGAAAAGAAAGAACATTTCAGTGCATAATGAGGGAACAGAAACTATCAGCAATCAATAAGACAAGACTTGCAGACAAGCCACCTCAATAAAAATCCACTCTTTGTCTTGTCTGTAAATCTTGATGCCTGATTTTTCGTTGTGTGTGAGAGTGTAATTGTGGGATTAGTAGCTATGAGATCATAATCACAATACACACTGTGGTCAACACTGCCAAGATTTGATCACCTGTACTTGTTTTTTAAGTCATGAACCAAACGTTAGCAAGCACAGCCAGTTGTCCCATGGGATGTGCTCTCAAATTTCATTATAACCAAGCCACGCACGCCGGCTGCTTCGCTATAAAGCACACAAAAACATTGAGATACAAAACAAAAAAAACAAAACAAAAAAAACAAAACAAAGTTCATGATTTAGATGTGGAGACAAGGATACATTTCAACATCACATCCCATAACTTCAATAAAAAAACACTCAGTTTTACCTTTACCAGCTAAAAAGCACTTGCACTGGAAAAACAATCCAGACATAAGTAAAAATGTCTTAAATTAAGTGTATTTGCCCTTAATTTGAGTAGGTAAATGACATAGTTTTCCAATGGAATGAGTATTTTTACTCTGAAAATAAGATAATTAGATAATAGGCACTTGAAATTAAACAATGCTATTCTATTTTCTTATTCTAAGTGTAAATTGTCTTGTTCCATTGGCACGATGTCTCTTTTACTACCTTATTCCAAGAGCAAATGCACTTATTTTAAGAAAAAAAATGACTTATCTAGATGTTGATTTTTTTCCAGTGTAGCAACCACATTTCTGTAATGCTATTTAAACCAATGGTATGTTGAACGAAACGCTACACAAACAATCTGTCCTAAACAGTTCAGGGCTATCACAGGAATAATAATTAAAATATGTCCAAAGCTGATGGGAACCAAACCGTAAAATTAAAGAACAGATGATCGTCCATGGCTGTGTAATCTGAAAACAGGCTAATTTTAATCTGAAAAATTTCCTTTTTTTGAGAAACAGAGAGAGAGAGAGAGAGAGAGAGAGAGAGAGAGAGAGAGAGAGAGAGGGAGGGGGAGGGAGAGACATCTCACACACACTCACACACAGAAACAAACACTTGAGAAACAGGATAAGGCTGCGGAGGACAAAACTGTTGATGGCATTTTCAGCAGGGCCTGGAATATAGGGCTGGATGAACCAGGGAAAACAACTGGAAAACACAACAACAAAAGAAACACTACTGTTAAAAGTTAGAGTCAATCAACATGTTCAAGAGCAACGTACGGAGAGGGACTATTTCCAAAAGGCATTTTCACAGCCAAGCATTGCTTTAAGGCTTTATATGACTTGTGGAAATTTAAATTTGATGCAAAAGGAGTAAATTACAAACAAGAAGCCATGTATTACCAAGTGAAGCGTATGTGCTACTAATCAACATGATCAGAATTTATTATCAGGATAACTGTGTAGTTTTTTTTTTACTATATCAGAGCGTTTTCAGCTGATTAGAGCCCTCCCATCCTTTGATGCCCCAAAAACCTTTTTTCTAAATACCAAGGGTGCCTGGAAACAACAAACGCAACATTTAGATGAAGTGTTAAAACATTTTATCTAAATGAGGAGGTTCAGGCTAGAACCGTTCGTAAGAACAGATTCGTTCATAAATTGTTAGTATTTAGGAGAAAATGTTGCATTTAGGGCTGCAACTAACGAATATTTTAAAAATCAATGAATCGGCCGATTATTTTTTCGATTAATCGATGAATCTGACAAAAAATATTTTTTATATCAACCTCTTTATTCCAAAAAAAACATTTTAGACAGAACAAACAAGCACACAAGTACAGGTTGCTCATTAACTGTACTGATGCAATATGAAAAATAAATGTTTGTGTTAAAACTACGCAAACTTACATGAGAAATGTAGCTGTACATCCACAAAATATAGGGTACTTTGTTTCATAAAGTGCAAAAAAAGACAAGCATTTTTTTTTTAAAAGCCCCTAAGGGGTTCAAACAATAGGCCCCCCCATTTCAACAAATGAGTTTTTTTTTTTAGACTAGAAGAGTTCTGCCTTTTAAGACAGGAAAGTATAGCAGTTAAAGTTGCTACTTGAGAAAATACTGAACCATAGAGATAAAAATAGCCCTGTGATTCAAATTATAAATTGTATTTGGAATAAAAATGAGAGAACTAGGGGTGCTAAAAAACACATCCTCCAAAGACAGATATTTACATGGGAATGTGGCATATAATTAATTGACATATTACTGATCTTGCTGATTCTGCTTTACTTCCATAAATTGCAGGATCTTCTTTACTTTATCTTTGCCGGAAGATTTAAACTTTAAAAGCCTTGCCCTCATAATTTGCAAGTTAATTTATTTATAAAGGCTATTGTAATTATTGTGATCAATTTGCGCCGTCAATCCCGGCGCATGCGCGCTTCATTTGCAGTCTGGACGCTGAGGGTAAACATCCTGCGGCTCTGACTGCAGCGCTAAGAGGGACTCCTGCGGGAGAATGGGGTTGGGATGGGGCAGGGGCCTCACGGCAGCAGCTGCCGCTGGAGGACAAGATTAGGAACGATACATGCTTTCACGTAAGAGTCTCCAAAAGCCGCCAGTGACACCGTAAAAAGTCGCCAGATTTGTCGCTAGTCGCTTTTTTTGAAAAATAGTCGCTGAGGGGTCTGAAAAGTCGCTAAATATAGCGACAAAGTCGCTGAGTTGGCAACACTGCGCACCTGCGGCGCTGGCTCGCTCTGCCGTAATTTTTTTTTCTTCCCCCGTTTCAGTCAAGTGGCGGTGATGACGGCGGCGGCGGATGATGCAGTAATCGCGCAACACAACTAATCGATGATGAAATTCGTTGCCAACGCTTTTAAAAGTCGATATTTATCGATTCGTTGTTGCAGCCCTAGTTGCATTCACCATTTTTCTCTTATTTCTAATCTTCTCTCAGTGAAGTAGGAGTCTTACGCAATCAGTCAACTGTTATCCAAACCCAGTTTTTCACTAACTGAATACATTTGTTTAACTTAGAAGTATTTGTCCATTTTATTAGGCTACATAATTTTATATTATGCAACTCTGCAATTATAAATCAAAATTTTATTATATTGGTCACTACACCTGCAGCTGGCATGTTGGTATCCAGACAACACTGGTTTCATTTTTTTTTGTCATTTGGTCAAAAGAAACACGACTCAGAGATCAAGCTACTATTGAAGTAACATCTGGAACAGAAAATGGATGGAAAGTTCAGCAAAGCTCCTCTAATGGAGAGACTTGCATCATTTGACTCAATGGCAGCTCTTTGGCTTTATTATTACACTAAATGCAGAATAATTTGGTCTGTTTTGCCGAAAACATTTGATATGTTTATGCGTTATGAGAAAGATGGAGAGTACGATGAAGGGATGGCGGCGTGGTCTGGAGTTGTACAGTCCAGGTGTTTCATATGCTGCACCTCTTGCCTTAGTCAGTACTTTCCATTGACTGTTTTTGGATCAAATGGTTTTATAGCTCTTTGAATGCATTTCCTACTGCTTGGCTTTTTACTGGTCCTTTTAACTCTGATGTTTAGCTCTCAGCAGACCTCCATCCGCAACGTTTTTCTTCTACGTTTTTGTTGCCACCAACTTGTTCATTCACAGAGGGAAGTCGTGGTCTTATATGGAATGATAAGGGCAGTAATTACGTACATTCACCTTTCTTTTTAATAAAAAAAAAATTACTAAAGCTAACTGGATATTTGCCCAGCTTTTTATTAGACAATAATATATAACTAATAAATATTAATATCGTAAATATTTAACAGTGTAATTCGAATGATTTTCTAAATGACTAACAATTTGTTCTACGCAGGCCATGCTTTACTTAACATCCATCATAATCAGAAAAAAACTACTTTACTTGAGAAGTTGTGAAGCTGTGCAGCTATCAATTAGGAAAGATTGCCAATTATTTTGATGCAGGAAAAGAAAAGTGGATTGCCAATCCTGGTGCTATTATTATAATTGTTTTAAGAGGACTGCTTTCAGCCATCATAGAGAGGGTCTCTGCAAAATGACTTGTCCACTATGGAAAAGCACAACACAAATATCAGAGAGAAGTTTAGCTAAATGTGAGACATAGACACACGTGTACATTTCCCTTTAAATACCTTAAGATATCAAGTACTAAAAAAAACTGAAAAAAAAAAGAGTAAAAGTAAAATATGTTCAGATTCAATTCATTCTATCAATTATATCTTAAATCAGGGTTTATACAGGAATGAGTAACTCTTAACTTAATAAGCTTGTTAATGCTCTAAGAAATAATTTTAACGCCATCAACAAATACCCATGACTCTCATATACATATATAACACGGCAAAATCCTTCATAATTTTTACCATCGACAGGCTGCAGCCATGTCCTCAATTCCTCGTTTTCCAGACACTTGAAATTTGCATTTTCCCATTCCCTAGCCTTTTCTCCGCTTCAAGCTTCTTTTCCGAACACACATCTTTAAAATCAACTGAAAGCAGTTCGACGCAAACACGAGGAACCAGTTATATCTGACGAAACTGTTGGCATAAACTTTTTTTATTTAATTTTTTTTATAAAGCATTTTAAATGCCTCTATAATCACATTTAATGAGTTTTAATGCCCATTAGGGCCTTAATTTAAAAAACAATAATTTAATGACTTAATGACCCGTAAAAACCCTGTAAATATGAGAGACACAGACGTGAAGGCTAAAGAGACAGATCGGACACCCACCTTCGGCGAAAGGGACCACGATCAAGGCCCTGTCCACGAAGACGGTGTTGGTAAGATGCTGGGACACTCCGACAGACTCAGGCTCATTGAATTTTACAAAACAGACACGGGAAGTCACAGGCAAGGGAGAGTCACTGGAAGAAAATACAGATGTGTTGTGCAAAGAATACGAAATAGGAGAATAACATGCCCCTTTTCCACATGTTAGACCATGATGCTGGGAGAACTGATTAGTAGATTTCTGCTACAGAGTCCAGACAGTTTGAAGGTTACCAAAGGGACAGATTGCATATGTCTGCCAAACTTTGGTGTTTGGACAATAATATTTGTTGAGAAAAAAAAGGTCCAATTACCATTGTGTTTTATTTTATAGCTCTTTCACATTATATACATTTTATCTAATCTTATTATAGATGCAGACCTGATTCAGCCAGCTGTCATATATGAGAGCATTGGCTATTAGAATCCATATTACATTATTTTATTTGGCAGATCTATTTGGGACCTACAGTATGATGGTTATGGAACATATAATCTAAAAATTATATAATAAAATAAAATACAACCGAGACCAATTAATAATTTATTTGATAAGGAACACAACACAGCTCTGATTTTACCAAAGGTGAAACATTATGAACTGGGGATCTTAATATAAATTTATATTTACTCATTCTGGAAATAGTAGATTAATACTGACGTTATTGTCAAAGATCAATAAAAAATTACAGTTATGTCGTTAGTTTATACAATATTAGTTTATTAGTCTGAAACTTCTGATGAGTTCAGGAAGTACTGTTTTATTTTGGTAACAAAAAGCAACAAATCATACATTTTCTAAATTAGAACGTTCTTTATATAAATAAATGGCACAATTTATGCGAGTTACAGGGAAATAATATACACATTTTAAATTTTTAGTAGTCGTCTTGTTTTAATGCGTATATACAATTTAAATATGGGTTTATCAGCTTCGATTAGGATGTTTTTACGCCAAGTGGCGCGAGGCGGTAAAGTGTTAGCATTAGCATACAGGATAGCCAGGCCTGGCGTTGATGCTACAGGCCTGAGCAGCGACGGTCAAGCTAAAGGGACACAACAGGACCGTAGTTCTGAATACTCACTCAGGTGGAAAAAGCTTTAGCTCCTCTATAGTTCCGAGGAACCCAAACAGAGTCCTCATTTGCTCGGACGTTGTGCTCGGTGAGACGTTTGTCACCTGGATGACTTGAGTGTTGGAGCTCATCTTTGCGAGCGCTAACCAAGCTAGCCAGTCCGGAGCTAGGCGCGTGCAGTCAACTCACTATTAGAGCAAATATTAACGCTCGGAGTTTAAAAGTCAAAAGGCCTCTATGAAACACTGCATTTTTTTTTATCTCCGTAGGAGTGAATAATGTAGATGGTTTCTACAGAAAGAGAGACAATGCAGCTGAAGGGACAAGCGATGCTCTGATGCTGCATTCAGGGACACTTTGTCATGTTTGTAGTTGTCAGTGTTATAAATTTGTAATAAATCTAAATAATCCCGTTTATGCTGGGACTTATGTACGGGACAGACAGTGTTATAATTTTTTTTAACATTGCTGTGAAAGAAAGAAAAATTTAAAATTTCAGTTGTTTGTTTTTTTTAGTTTCATCACCACCATATTTAGCATATTAGGCATACTCTGAATTTTCAGCGTTCTTGTTTTATTCTGTTTTCTGGTCTCGATAAAACAAAACCAAACATAATTCTAACAGTCAAGCTTGGAGGTTTGGACATAATGCTTTGGGTGTTTAAAAAAAAAAAACCCAGCTGGACAGGCAGTCTAATTGAACTAAATTCAGTTATAAATAACACTATATTCAGATTCTGAGTAACAGCACTTTAGACTTCAGAGACACTTGGGCTAATTTGGACGTATCAGCAGTAGTGAGGAAAAGCTCAGCTGACCAAAATATTAATGCTGTGGGGTAGACTGGTCATAGTCCTGCCTTGAATCAAATGGAGGGAGCTACTACAAAGATTAGACTGAAAACAAAGATAACTTGGTGAATCAGTCAAATGTTAATTTAAAAAAAGGCAAAAAGATTATAAGGATTTATAAGAAGCATTTGTCTTTTTTAAAATAAAGAATATTTTCTTAAATATGCCTAATTGTCATTATATTGGATGTGTTTTTCTTCCAAATGTATATAAAAAACATATTTTCAGATTGATACACCTTATATATGTGCATTGTCCTGATATTATGCTTTTGAAGATTCTGTTATTCTGGTCATATTCATTTCAAAGTCTTGTTAGCTTTTTGTGAGATAAATGTATGTCTATCCTATTTAAAAAAAAAAAAAAAAAAAAACTAGGTCAGGGGTCTGCTGTTTTCCAGGGCAAGGACCCCTTAACTGATGGCGGGATGGAGGGGGGACCCCCTAATTATATATATTGTATGAAACTGTGTTATATCAAATTGGTCCTATAGTTACTCTATTACATATGGAGTAATGTAACAAAAGTAATTTGGCCCTGGGATTATTAAAATATTTCTGATTCTGATTCCTCGTTAATGGGACAGGTGTTGTGAATGAAACGGTGCCCAGTTTAAAAGAGCTCCAGTGTGTCGCTGAATGTGTGCATTGATGACTGAAAGACATCTTCTGCCTCCATTTATCTGTTTACTACAGTGTGTTGAATTCATATATTTAAAGATATTTCAATTAGTGGAAAAATTGCAGGGGAATATAAAAAAAAGTCTAATCAACCAAAACATTTGTGATCCCCATACAGTACCTCGGACCCCCTTTTGAAAACCTCTGCCCTAGCTGGTTTAAAGACTGCTTTTATTCTAATTTCGTAGCAGTAATGATAATTATTTCTATTTTTGAGACAAAGTTCGTGACCAAAGATGTAAAACAAAAGAGAGACAGTATTTCCCCCTTCAATTAGTTTACTTAAACTAATCAAGTTGGGGTAATAAATATTACCCAAACCTAGTTAACGCAGTATTTAAGCAATAAACGTCATAATTCGGACGGTACGTAAAGTCAACACGGCTCTAGTGGGCGTGGCTTGGAGTGCTTGATGCTACACTGTTAGCAAGCGGCGGGTTCTGCTTTTGCTGACATTTCAGCATGTGCCCAGATTGAAATCTCAAAACAAGGAATTATATAAAGACCGCGAAATGTGCAGAGCGACACAGGTATGGAAAGATGTCAATCAGTTTCAATATATATGTGATATATTACCATACCAGCAGAGCCGAACCTTAGCGACTCTGATCTGGGGGCAAATCTGCTAACATTGCAGCTCCCTTGTCAACAAGTGGAGGTGCATTATTATATTATATTTAACTGCACAACATTGTCTGGTGCTTTTAACATGCATACACCTTTTGCTGCTGCATGCACAGTTTATTAAACTCATCTCTGTCTGGATATCATTATTATTAGTATTATCTAAGTGAAACTTTAGTTCATGCTGCTGGATTGTTTTAAATGCATTTCATATACAAAGCATCTTGTTGTTTAACGTTATGCAGACAAATCTGTCATAACTGAACAGAGCAGACTGCAGAGAAACAAACCTGCACATTGAAAGATGATAGAGAGAGATGGTTTAACACATTTAAAATATCTGAACACTGGCTGTGTGCTGTTTCCATTGTGGCATAACTGCAGTGTTTTAAAAGGCACTTAAAAAAAACCCCATAAAAATGTGAGTTATATTTTTATATAGCAAATAAGGAAAAATAATTGAATATCTTAATGCTTTGAAACAGTAAGTGAAGTCATTTATTTATTTTCATTCATTAATATGTTATTTTCACCCAAAATAAGATATTATGGACCTCCTTTGTCGTGCTGGTCTAATAAATAGATTTTTTTTCTTCTTCAAGAGGTTACTTTTTTTTTCTTCATATCCCCTGTTAAATATGATAATAAAACAATGTGAAAGATCTAAGCATTGATCATTTTTGCTTATAGGACACTGATTTGATGCTTAATTGAAAACCGTATTTTTTTCCTTCCAGGGAGCTTTTGGAAAGTTATGAAGTCCAAAAAGCAGGGAATGGTGTTGCCACCTAAACGTCACTTCACATGACTCTAACTGGTGAATATGGGATTCTTAAGACTGGTGGCCAGAATCATGGGAAGGATCAGCACATTCAGATCCTACCAGTTTGTATTGCTACTGGCTGCCACATTTGCTGTAATAGCTTTTTACTACTTTGGCTCTGAGAGGAACAGCTTCTCCAGCACCACTAAGAGGATAAGGCAGACCCATGCCAACACCAACAGAAATGATGCCGACCTCACCGTGGACACCAGGATCTCACACCTTCCCGCATCTGATGAGCGAAGAGGGAACGAGCTGAATGCGGGAAGTGACTTTTTCCGCTCCAGAAAAGGTGGCTCTGACACTGGAGGCCTGCGCTACCATGTGCTCATGATGTTCACCAAGGTGGACAGGAGCAGAAGCCTGCAGGAGAAATTCAGGGTGGCCATGTTGTCAATGGCAAAACATGCGCATTTCCTGGAAGGTGAAGTATTGGTGCTTCATTTTGTGAGTGATCCAGCCAGCCAAGAGCTGGGCCAGAGGATGCTGCAAGAGTTTCTACAGGATGCAACGTTTAAATATGAGGTGAGTGGTATCTTTAGTGTCCTTTTAAAGTTTCCAATAAATGTGTTATCAAGGCAACTATATAACAGGTACTTTATGTAAGACACACACTGCCTGATTGACAAATGGAAGGAGGGAAAAATATTTGTGGTTTGGGACGGCAACCTCAACCCAGTAAAATATGATGCGGAATGTAAACAATAGAGAAAGGAATGACTGATGTCCAGAGATGGAACGCATGAACTGCTTTTAAATAAGGGTCTACTATTGGAAAAGTTTTCGTTTGATCCGTGGGGTGAATGAAGTCATGAATTATAGTTAAAGCATAAAAGCGAAGCAACAAGAATCGTCTCATTTTTGTAGCAGCGATTGAATACTAGCAATAAGCGTTCAGCTAAGCATGATGAGCTGAAATGAGAGGAAGAACCAAATGTACATAATTATGATGAGTAATCCACTGATTCATTCATTTAGAGGGAGTTTGTATGGAAAACTGTTGCTCTGTTTTATTTGAATTAGTAAGTATTTGCACAGCTGTCAGAAACCTTGGATGAGGATGTGGATCTTTTATTAGAGATCATCCTCACCCCTTTTGAAAATGTAGAAAAAAATAAGTATTCTGGGAAATAAATGATCTGTAAAGCGCTGCAGATGAACGCTAGACTGGGGAGTGCAAAGAACTCTCCTATTGCTGTAACTAAGCAGGTTCTCAGAAGGGATGACGGACGCTGGAAATGATAACTTAATCAGCAGCCATCTCCTTCCCACTCTGAGGCTTTCACAGAACAGCTGTATTTATACTGGCAGTGAACTGCATAAAGAGCTTTGTTTTGTTCTATCACATAAACTGTTGAGTTCAGCAGGTTGGATAACCTGAGGAAGTTTGAGAGATAAAAAAAAAAGTGTATGAATTAGGTTGGCTTTGTATTTTTCAGACATGTCCAATATTATATGTCTGCAGAGGCTAGGCAATACTTGGAATAATCCAGGAGAATCTGAGCTCAAATCATGAGTTCTGGGCATGCAGCTTAAAACTGAGCCACTAGGTGGCAGTAATTACCTGCTTGGTAAACCCATCACCAGTGAGAGGAATGCAGCTTGTTTACACTGTTCTTCCTGCCAAAAATGAGGATTATGTTCCTGGTCTGTTTGGCAAAATGTCCCTTCCAGTTTGTCCTTTGTATCCTTTTCATAGCTAGGCATCATAAATTACTCCAATGTCTTCACTAAGAGCTAGAAACCTTTTCTTTTTTTTACTTCTGTTTTTTTTATTCCTGGAATACTCAGATTATTCTCAGCATAGCATCCTGGCTGTTCAAAAACTGAAAGATGGATTTTTGTCTTGTGGTTAAAATACTGCTGTAGGCTTGAACCCTGCTGTAGGGTTCCTGTTTGATTTGGTTTTTAGCTAAAGAAGAGCTACTTTAGGTCTTATAATAATAAAAATGTTGCTTTAACCATAAAATTATACCGTTTTTTTTAATAATGAGAATATATCTATTTATAAATTGTATTTTAGAAGAAACTACTCCAAATCTAATAAAAACATGGAGCCTTGTTTGTTTTAGTGTTACACCCTGTAAGGTCGCTTTCAAACATGGCTGATGTTGAGCTGTACAATGGAAGCTGTGCAGTCATCAGACAGACAGTCCTCAGCTGTAGGCGTATCTACACACCTACACATGCATCAGCTATCTAAAGGAGATTAAACAGGACTCATAAAAGTCTGTAATCTGACTTCATGGTTTTTCCAGGTTTAGAAAAGGGTTGAGAAAATGGGTTTCCCAGCTTTAGTCTGTCCTATTCACTAAAAGCGGTATCAGTGATGAATCAGGTTATCCATCCAGTTACTTATATGTCCGTCCGTCTGGTAAAGGGGACAAAACAGGTTCTAACATCCTATCTAAACTAGGATTTTGCAACTAGCAAAAAAATAAATAAAACTGGGCTGAACTTATAACTATCTCAGAGTGCTAAAAAACAACAGTAAAACCGTAATAACTGTAGTTTAAAGATTAAATATCAAGAATAAAACCTGGAAAAGTTGGCCATCCCCATCTAATAGACCCTAGTTTGACATCAAACTGCAATCTGTGGACCTAAAAGAGTCCTCTTTTACAAAAACATGATTTTCATCCATCCTGACTCGGCTCAATTAAGAAATACATATTTTTAACAGGGAATATGTTGAAACCAATCAGATGTGTCCTTCGTTTCAGCCAATCACATGAACATACCCCATTTTGGCGATATTGCTAAGTTAATCACAAAAACATGTTCACAGCGATGTATGCAGTGAGGTTCACAGACCGATTAGTTTGTAAATCAAGATATTTTTTGTATTCATCCTATGCATTGTGTGGATCATGTGTGTGTTTGTGAATTTTGAGGCTCTTTCTCCACACTAAATGCCTATATTCATCTCACTATCTCTTTCACAACCTCTGCTTCACCCAAAATAACGCAAACAAGTTTGGCCTATATTAATTATTACAACATCATTGGGCTTCATTGGGAGTCTGTGGAGGAATAATGGAGAGAAAAATTAAATCTTGTTTCTTTTCACGGGCTCCATGATGGTTTTCTGTTCTCTACTGGTTAAAGATATTGAAGTTTTGTTTGTTCATACACTTGTCAATACTTGTTCAGGCAGGATGTTTTCTGTTTTTGTCTGTTTACGTAAAGATCGTCTGCAGTCCTGCTGAAATGATCTGTCCTGATGACTTTTATTTTTTCCTCCACATGTTGTGGAACATGAAATAGATCTCTATATATGCAAAGTTCTGGCAGTGTAGAAATGCAAACATCCAGAAATACTAATAAGGGGAGTCCTCAGAGTCTGAGTGATAAAATGCTGACATCCTTGTTGGTTCATCTTCTAGAACCTCCAGAGCCACCTGTGTCTCTCTGATTCTTTCAATGTGGCACTATTGAAATTTTAACTATCACGGAAAGGGTTTTTTGTATTATCATGCATTTATGCACAGGTTTTTTTTTTTTTAGCTTTACCTATATGCTTTATTTTTTCAGTAAGACTACTGATTATTCTTTATCTTTCATGTTAATGGTTGCTCCATCAGCTTGCCTTAATCTAAATGAGTTTTTCCTTTTGTAAAAATAATTAACGATCATCTTTAATTCTGAATTAATAAAAGAGAACCATCTAACCTTTAATTTTCCAGGCTTTTCATATTTTTACTTTACTTTCTTCTGGCTGTTGACACCTTTTTATTTTGTAGCAGCAGTAGAAGAAATGTCTCTCTGAGTTGAAAAGGTTGCAGACTCCCGATCTATAACTTCATGCCTTATAATTACTCACCATCCAGGAATTAAAGGACAACACAGCGGTTATGCAACATATTTTTAGCTCCATGACTTCCCTGCTGCAAAAATTTTGTGAAGCACTTGACATTTTCAGCAGACGGCCTGCAGAGTCACGCTAGCCTGCAGCTGTGCTCATTACTGCTGCATGTTCTTCATAAAACACCCTACATATACAGACACTAATGATGAGCTCTGAAGCACAGAGCTGAGATACGATTCTTGGTGTAATTAAAAAAAACAAAACTTGCATCTGATAATTGTATGAATATCTGCTATGTAAAATGGAAATAAATAAATTCATGCATGCTTTTTGAGTTGTAAGTTTAATAAGTACATTTTAAATCCAACAGGGAACAAGAATAATAATAACTGGACTGTTAACAAACTTTCTCTCTGCAATTACAAACACTCTGTCCTTAAAAAAAAAAAGCATTTCTGCTCAGACCAGGAAGGAAAAAAAAAAAAACAGCAGCTGAGAAGCAGGGCTTTGCTATCAACTATGGTTGCCAAGTTTGGACTGCTTTAATAAAAAATGTCTGTTTTTGGCTCAGCTTTTGTTAAACAATAACAGTCATAGTTTTTCCTGTAAGTAAAAGTAGAGCTGGTGATATGGACTCTTATCGAAATATTTGGTACTATTGTGATAATGATAAAAATAGGGCTGTAACTAATGATCATTTTTTTAAATCCATTAATCTGTTGATTATTTTTTCGATTAATAATCGAAAAGCCAAGGGTTCCTTAAAGAAGATTTTTTTTTTAACTGAATTAAAGCAGGTGAAACTGGAGCTGCTAATAGAGCATATTGACAGAAAATATATATATTTTTTTATCTTAATGCACAGTTAATGTATACTCAATTACTAAATTATTTGACAATTATTTCGATAATGGACTAATCATGATTAATCCGATTAATTGTTTCAGAAAGTTAGAATAAAAAAAACATTTTCATGAAATCCTTGCCGTCTTTCTAAGGTAACTTTATGGCTGCATGCTACTGCAATCATAGCTCCACAATCACAGATACCCCTCTTGAAAAATAAAAGAATTTAAAATGAGCTTCTCCAGGAAGAAGTTATGTCTCTAAACATCACATAAAAACTGCTTTTAATCATATTCTTTAGACTAATAAAGTCACATTAAAAGTTATTTAAATTCACTCATATGTTTGTTAGTTTTCAAACTAAATAGTTTATTTTTTAAATTTAGACAACAAAATTATTTTCCTGACTAGCAATTTATCACGATAACGATAAATGATATAAGTGACCACCTGTTAGTAAAAGTTAAAAAAAAAATTCAAATAGCACCAACTTAGTGTTAGAGCTAATTGATTGTAAGTTGCCACAGTTTGTTCTAATTTATACTATATGAGTTTGAATTAAGCGGTTACTGTATATTAAAAATGTCCATTCATCAAAACATCCCTCCACAAAAGACTTTGGGGTGAAACAGATAAAATTATTTGGTTTCTTTAAGTTACTTGCTTTTGAGGAAGGAATCCGACTCAATACCGATGATTTATCAACGTCACGAAGCATTTTCACTTTTCCCAGTGATGTTTGTTACCTTGCTTGGCAAACTAATGACGGCTAAGGACAGAAAAACGCTGTTGGTCTGTTTGTGCATATATCCTACTGCGGTTAATTAATAACGATATTGATTGTTTCCTCAGATCATCTTCCACAATGTGGTGGAGCTGACCCAGAAGCTGTTCCCCATTGTGGAGGCCATGCAGAAGTACTTCAGCGCAGGCTCTGGAGCTTACTACAGCGACTCCATCTTCTTCCTGTCTGTAGCCATGCATCACATCATGCCTGAAAGTAAGATCAGACTTTTCTTCCATTTGCAACCATGCAGGTTTATCTCAGAAGGCAGGTTAGCTGTGTTGGAGTTCTCTAATTAAACTGATTATTCTCTTTGTATATTTTCAAGAAGAAACCTTTTATGATTTCTCTCTGGCTGAGTGCTTCGTATTCAGTCACTTCTCTAATTTAGGCGGTGAACAGCTGGAAAAAACAGCATGGCCAGGTATCTAAGAGACACGTGGCGAAGTGCGGAGGCCCTGGAGAGAGAGGAAGGAAGGATGTGCTCTGTCGCTGCTGCCCACATTAGAGCCCCCTGGGCTGGTGTCAGCAGTGATCTGTCCTCTGTTGTGCACTGTTTTGGCTCACTTCAATAGGGATGCAGCATGGGGCATCGCTCCAAAGATAAACCACACTATTGGGCTTTGAGGTTTCAGTCGATAGCATTCAGAGGCACACATGTGAAACCTGTCAGGTAGACAAAACACAATCCCAACTCACTAATAGTGACTGTGATGTAATTCTTGTATTTGGTGCAGTTTATTTATCTGGTCCAAATTCAGAACTAAAGTAAAGAGGAATAGTAATTTGTCTGTCTAACCTTTTCACAATCTCTGTTGCTCATGCACCTTTTTTCATTGTGATGTATTATGTGATGTAATATTTAGATTTTCAGGGTTTTCGTGACTTTTAACCAAAACATTTTTAAATAAACACTTGGAATACACTACTCCAAGTGTTACTGAAATGATCATATCACAGGAAGGTCCAAGTATTGGTTTGTTTGTAGTGTGAAAAACAGAAATGCCTGAAAATGTGGCTCTGCTCTGAATCTCTGAGCTAAGATGGTTTCTTATAATTTAGTCTGACAGCTGGAGCTGGTATTCTAGTACCAGACTGAACTCCTCCGCCTTTCTTGGTTTGTGCCTCAGAAAGCGGATGTTTTATTCCATTGCATGTGTTTTGATTTTAATTAAGGCGGAGTGATCAGGGAAGGCCGCTCCAGATCGTTAATCTTGTTGGTTTGGAACCAAGATGCTGGTTTATAAAACGTGTTTGGGAATGTCTTCTTTTAGTCCTAATATTTATTCTGCCGGAGAGACAATGACCTCTTCAAGTAGTTCCTCTGGCATGCATTTAATTGGCCCGACGCATCAAATGATGAGAAACGTCTCCACAGCGTGATTCCTCAGTCACCAGGCTGGGGCAGAAAAGAAAGGGACAGCCCCACCTTTATTCCCACTTAAAATGATCCACTGGTGTGTCACAGTGGGAGTGGAACAACATCATAAAGCATTTGACAGGAAGATGTAACCTAAAGCTAAGAAGTTTGCACGTTTTTTAGGATTCAGGTGAGAGTGAAGTGCATTGGAAGGTCTATAGAGGCGTCATCAGTTGCTGTTTGAGGGGAAGAAACATTTGCTCTTATGAAAACATGTTGCTCAGATTAAAGGGATGTTGTGCATTTTATTTAATATTCAGATTAATTGTGATTAATTAATTATTGACATAATAGTCAACTAATTTAGTAATTGATTTATCATTAACTAGAGTATAGAGACTGAAAAACACGCCTTTAGCTGACAGAGCGGCCCACTTAGAGTTGTAACTATACCATGATTTAAAAAAAATACATAAATATTTTGCATTTAAGATAAAAAAATAAAAATAAAAAAAGTTCATCCATCAATATGCTCTATCCAGAATGCCTCAAGTGAAAAAGTTTTCGTTTCACCTGGTTTGATTTCTTCAAAAGTCTTCTTTATGGAACCTTTTTCCTGTCCAATTATTAATCGAATAAATAATCGACAGATTCATCCATTTGCAAAATAATTGTTAGTTATAGCCCTAGCAAAAATCAAGTTTTGCTTTATTAAAATTACATATTTGGTGAAAGGCTTATAAAATCAGATAATACCAATCCAAATTCTGCATATGCACCATATATTTTTTTCAATGCTCTGAACTTCCATGTAAATCCCCCAGGCACGACGAGCAGAAATGGATTTCTTGAACTGATTTAATGAAGCCTCCAAATCTTCATTAGCACCGTGAAAACTGTACAGAACAATACAGTTGA